TGAACTCTGGGCCTGGGTGCTGTCCCTCAGCTCTTCAGTTCAAGGCTAGCGCTCTACCACTTGAGCCACAGTGCCACTTCCGGCTTTTTTTTTTTCTTTTTGCTTATGTGGTGCTGAGGAATCAAACCCAGGGCCTCGGGCATGCAAGGCAAGCGCTCTACCACTGAGCCACCTTCCCAGCCCTTCTTTTTTTTTTTTTTTGGCCAGTCCTGGTACTTGAACTCAGGGCCTGGGCACTGTCCTTGAGCTTCTTTTACCCAAGGCTAACACTCTACTATTTGAGCCACAGCACCATTTCTGGCTTTTTCCGTTTAATATGGTACTGATGAATTGAACCCAGGGCTTCATACATGCTAGGCAAACACTACCACTAAGCCACATTCCCAGCCCTATTTTCTAAATTTTTTAAATTAAAATTCTTTTTTTCTACTACAATTGTGGGAAATAGGCTACTAGGCATACTAAAAAGTCTTAGAGCATTTGTTGATCCTAGATGAAACCAGATTGTGTAAGAGTGCTTAATGTAAGTGACATGTTTTTTTCCTGATTTCAGGTATTAATTGAAGAAACAGACCAATTATGGAAAGTTCATTGCCACCGAGACTTTAAGGAAGAAAGACCAGAAGAGTACGAGTCTTGGCGGGAGATGTACCTGCGGCTTCAGGATGCTCGAGAGCAACGGCTGCGAGTGTTAACCAAGAATATCCGATCTGCACATGCCAACAAACCCAAGGGTAGGGACAGGGGACTGGTAGCTGGGAAAGGTCTCTTGCTCTGCAGGTGGACAGGACTGGGCTTGTCTTTAGCTACAATCCTTGTTGTCACACTGGGGTTATTGACACTGATAATCCCCTGGTTTGGGGCACTTGAAAGCCTGTCCATTACTTAATAGCAATGTCTCTGCTCAAGACAGACACTAACATCCACATTTCTCCACAGGCCGACAAGCCAAGATGGCCTTTGTCAACTCGGTGGCCAAGCCACCCCGTGATGTGCGACGAAGGCAGGAGAAGTTTGGAACGGGAGGGGCAGCTGTCCCTGAGAAAGTCAGGTGAGAGCTTTGTCTGCTCAGGGCAACGAGCCCGAGGGAGCTGCACAGGCAGGCAATGTGGGCTGTGAGACTGGGAGGTAGACCTCCCTGAGCCACAGCTTCCTGGACGGCAGCATGGGGTGGGCTCAGGCCAGTAAGTGGTCAGCAGACCTGGCTGATAGGAGGATGCACTTCCTCATGCTTTCCCTTATTTAAGTAGTACAGATTTCTTGGGTGACCAGATTATTTCTTCTAGGCCACATAAACAGTTTCAATGAAGTCTGACACCTCAATAGAGAGGTAAAGGTTGGCTGAGAGTTGCTAACACAGTGGCTGCCAGGCCCACTGCTGTGCCCAGCACGAGTCTGCCTACAGCAGGCCAGCTTCAGGCTGTGCATACAGGAAGCAGATTTCTTCCACTGGCATTATCCCCTTTGTTCTGATACAGGATTAAGCCAGCCCCGTACACATCAGGAAGCAGCCATGTTCCCGCCAGTAGCAGCAATAGCTTCACTGCCAGCCCAGAGGAGCCAGCCTATGACGGCCCCAGTACCAGCAGTGCTCACCTGGCTCCAGTGGTCAGCAGCAGTGTGTGCTATGATCCTAGAAAACCCGCTGTGAAGAGTAAGTAGCTTGGATGCCTGCTCAGATATTCAGAATGCTTTTGAACCCCTTGGATGTCATTGTGGCTTGTGTCGGTGTGGTTTGTAGGATGCCTGGCACCTGCTCTGCTCATTGGGACAGTCGGCCCTGACCCTGCTGGGTCCATGCCAACATGAACCCACTGACTGTTCATTTGTGTACTTTACTTTTTTTTTGGTCAGTTGTGGGGCTTGAACTCAGGGCCTGGACACTGTCCTTGAGTTTTTGTTTTTAAGGCTAGCACTCCTCCACCTTGTTAGAGTGGTTAACTGGAGATAAGAACCTCATGGACTTTCCTGCTTTCCTGCCTGGCCTGGCTTTGAACCCTGATCCTCAGGTCTCAGCCTCCTGAGTAGCTCGGATTCAGGTGTGAACCACCTAGCTTGCTTTTTTTGTTTGTTTGTTTGTCGGTTGTGGGGCTTGAACTCTGGGCCTGGGCCCTGTTCCTGCACTCTTCAGCTCAAGGTGAGCACTCTACTGCTTGAGCCACTGCTTGAGCCACAGCTCCACTTCTGGTTTTCTAGTGGTTTATTGGAGATAAGAGTCTCATGGACTTTCCTGCCCGGGCTGGCTTTGAACCATGATCCTCAGATCTCAGCCTCCTGA